ATAAATAACAATTTGTTCACCTTCAACTTTGTGCAGGCGTGGCCGATTTTTTCTACTTTTGTACCGTTGTAGGGCAACCCATTGAACGTAAACGCAAATTTATGTTTTTATATTTGATATAATACGCAACGGGGAAAGAACGAAATTGTTTTGATTTTGAAAACAGAGATGGTCTCATTGAGGTCGTGTCCTTCGACCGATTTATGCCATTTTCAATACCAGCCTGCCTTCCAATATTTGTGCCAGTCTTCGAACTGACAGCTTCATTTTCGCGGCACTGATATTGCAAAGGCCGAAAGACAGACCGACATGCTTAATTCAGTTTAGAATTTGATGCTGATATATATTAGGTTTCCGAGGATGTTGCCTATAAAAATGCTTAAATGAGCTACGAATTTCTTTAGATACTATCAAAGTTGGGAGTGAAAAGAACGAGAAACGTGTGTAGAATTTTTAATGTGGAGAGTTTTGAAATATCGTACCAAATACCAAGTACCAAGTTCCCATATGCTGCTATACAGTTATATTAAACAAATCAAAATTTTCGACTTTTTAAAACTTTACCACGTCCATAACTGCCTTATTTTTCGTACTTCACTATTTAAGGGAACCATCCTTTCACCCAAGAAAAACAGGTTGACAAACGAACTTTAAAAAACAAAAATCCTGCCCTCAGGTGATTAGTAATATTGTTAGCAATAAAAATGATTTCAACGCTATCCAGTCGGCGTATCTTACGGTACGTTATTGCGTATAGCTTCTTTTTTTTTTTTTGGTCTTATATTTTCATCCTTGCAAAGTTCATTTAATGCAAAAACTAAAGCCCGTTTTCCCCAGTGAAAATTTATAAGTAGTAGTCGAAAGACCGTTACATGGCATTTGGTCTGGAAGTGTGACAAACCGGTATTTTTTGGAAAGGAGGAGGATGTGATACAAGCGATCAATTCTTACCGCCGCAGCCACATGATTACCAACACTTTTGGCGCGCAATTGAAGGCATGGATATTGAAAAGGTGTGCGGTTATAACAGAACGTTGTCACATAGGCATACAACACGCCCTGACATGGACATGTAACCTTATGTTTTGAAGATGTGAATTTAGTGGCGTTATGCAATGGATCGAATTTAAGCGGACTCCTGACGCTTTGAAAGCGCATATTCCCCAAGTTATGGCTGGACTATTGAGCGTCGTGGGCTGACAAGTCGTCGAGAATTACTTCAATGGGATCCAGTCCTATAAGGTATCTTATGGTGGACATTTGAATGTATTTGACTAAATTGAAAAAAAATTTGCGCCAAGTCTCAATCAGCAATGAGTTTCGTTTATGTTTACTTCTGGAACCACAAAATGGATATTCTTGGCAATAAAAATCAGCCTAAGTCCGAAAGACGATATAAAGCCATTTCATCAGGACACGGCATACATATGTATATGTATTTATACATATACATTCGTTAACTTTTGCGAAACGTCCGCAACGCAATAAAACGTGTTACAGCAATCTCGACCGGGGAAGCCTTGTGTAAGCAGCGAAGGACGGTTTGTTTGTACATGGAGCTAAGACGTAACTCAGTTTCAAAATTTACTTTTTGCGACTGACAATTTTTTGCCCCAACAATAGATAGCCAAACGGATATTTCCAAGTCGAATCCGATTGTGACTTTAACGATACCAGTAAGCATCGTTTCCCGTTTGTGTTTCGAACCTAAGAGTAAATAATTCATTAATGTGTATAATATCCTAAAAATTTTAGTTAACGGGATATATATATATTTTTGCACGTTAAAAGCGCATCTCTCCGAAAAATTTAATTTAAAATTTTCTCAAACTTCCATCTAAATGCTTGTAATCCATTAGCATAAAAACGTTGATTTATAAACATAAAACAGCTTCCCGTCTAAAGCAGAAATAATCCAACGAAGCGTGCGTTTAAATATGTCAGTTATAAGGTTGCGAACAAACATCAAATCTATAACATAACATCCTTTATACCCACCTGCGTAAAGGAGCACAAATCTAGTCATAAACGTATGTGTTTACCGTGGCAAATACGAATTTGTGTACGAGAGTTGCTGAGTCACCGCTTTGAGCACATAAAACACATAAAATTCCATTAGAATTTTGTGCAGCAGGATTAAAATGTTATACTTTTGGAGTGGATTTTTGCTTACTTTAGTGCTCATAATTTCCCCTCCATTAAATATCGCGAACTTGCAATCATTCATTGTTCGTTCCTATTAACTTGGTAAGTGCGTAAAATGAAATGAGAACGCAGAGTGCAGAGCGCAGAACGAAGGAATCGAACTTATCGCGCAATTAATCAGACTTTCATTATTGACATCGCCCATATGAAAGTCGATTTAATGCTCCGTTCACATAAAATCATTTATCCGCAATGTTTGCCTTTTAATAAGAACTTAAAAGTAAAGAGTTCGAGCGATCTCCGACACTTCGAAAAACTGAAATGAGCGATAGTAGAGCTCAAAATAAAAAAGACAAGAATAAAGAAATGACCAAGAGTCCAGATCCAAGCTACGCGTCCGACAGATGTGGGTGATCTGGCATTGCCATAATGAAAGACGGTACCTACTCTGTTAATCAATTCGCGACACTTTACATAAAGTATTTCCTCTATTCGCAGCACTTGTTGGCAGTAAAGAGTGTGATCGTCCATCTGATCAGATGAAGCTCTACTTCAATAAACTTGTCATTATTATACAATACGTCACTTACGGTATTAAGGTATATGAAGCTTGTGTTTTTTTATGGTTGCAACGATCAGAAGCACTTAAGATAGAAGTACCTTTTATCGTGCTAATCAATTCAAAAAGTGATTCTGTGACGTTCTTGTTCTCTTATGTCTGCTGAAATTTAGTACGGTAACGTGTTTTAGTCCAAGGAGAAAAGCTACTAAAAATGTTTTAGATCGTGCCGCTCTTTTACCAACTTCCCATATCAAATTTTATTTTGAATAGTCGTTATATGAATAACTGTAGGGCAACATAGGGTAGGGGTAGCATTTAATTTTTTTATCTTATTTATTGAAATTATGAGCAGGACAACTCAATCTACGCACAAGTAATGAAATTTTATTTTTTCCATGCGTGTAAAACGTGATAATGATTACGCATACGATTTTGGAGAGCGAGAGCAACTTTGGCTCTAAACTGGGACGGTTTCCAGACACGAACCAAGCAGAAGTGAAATGATGAATTACTTTGGAAAACAAATGAAACTCGTCAAGTTTCACAAACCTCCACATTGGCAATCTTCTAGAGCAATAGCGCGAGTTTCACAGCGCTTTTGGTTTTTATCTTGCAAGAGTCTAATAATAAAATGATACACAAAATTGAATTTTACAATCTTGTCCAATGATGGTTGTATTTGCTGAAATAAAGGTTTGTGTCAACATTTTTCGCCAATAGGCGTCACTTTCTGAATTTTAGTAGCCAAAGTTCAAATGCAACAATGTGTTTTTGTGAATAACAACCCTGTTAAAAAGCATCTTTTTTGTAAAGCTTTTTATGCGTGGTTGAGGTAGTGGAATAATCTGTTAAATTGCAAAGCCGCCGGCATTAACATCTGCTAAATTAAAACAATGTAAAAAGACAAAAAAAAAAATTAGAAAGCATTATTATCTTACCTAGCCACTTATTCTCTAAATTCCCACAATCCATGCAAAATTCTTGATAATTGTATACGCTTATTCTCTAAATTCCCACAAT